CTTTTCCTGTTCCAGTATTCGCTCATCCATCATATTGGATGTAGTATTGGGTCTTCTTACTCTTTATCCTCTAATATGTGACAGTAATTCATTCTTTCATTGTCTTAAAAAACATTTTTTCTTTAAAGAGATATAAAAATATTGTAGCAATTTGTGACAATGTAGAAGATATAAGTAAAAATTAGCAACCTGCTCCCAGTGATAAGTGCTGTCAACAGTTTTGTGTGTTTTGTTATTTGTTTTTTTATGCATTTATGGTTTACATATATATTTTGAGATCATAATGGGCATACTGTCCTGGAACTGTGTTTTTTACTCAAGCCCTATTTTCTTTCGGCATCTTTCAATGTCAACATATGCAGTTCTGTCATTCTTTTTAGTGGCTACCCAGTGTATATGAACATATTATTTTATGAAGCCATTCTTTTGATGGACCATTAGACTATTTTCAGTTTTTCATACTTATATAAGAAGTTGTACCAGACATCCTTATATACGTAACTTTGTCTGTCTACCTGGTTATAATTACTGGATCAATGACCACAGGCATTTTCTACTTTCGTAGTTTATTTAAATTGTCCTCCAAGAGGTTGTATCCAAACTTACACTCCTTCCAACAGTGAGTGATATACTTATTTCCCAAAAAGCTGTGAATGAAGTATTCTAGTCCGTTAACAGTAGTTTGGTTTGGGAAATGGTCTCATGGGTGTTAACTATACATTATGGTATTTTTTCCCCCTACAAATCACTGTTTTGCTTTTATAACACATGTACATACAATACTTAATTTTAAAAAGAATGACTTTGAAAGCACATGCAAGGGTGTTCTTTGAAATCTTTTTAAATTTGGCGTGATAGGAAAGCATGGCCATGTGGAGGTCTCGGTTATGGCCTGAGGAGCTCATGAAGCAGTTATTAGGAGGCTTTCTATAGGATGCATCTTAGATTTCAGGGTTTGGTGGATTAGAAAAACATGTTCAAGAAGTGGAAGTCTGTGATCACAAATCATTGTTGAGAGACTTGGATTTGTAGCAGGCGCAATCGTAGATGAAGCCTGGCTTTTTTGAGAAGTCTGTGCTCTTGAGCAAGCTGTATCATTCAGCATCAGTTCTTAGTAGGGGAGAGGAGCACGGGAAGGGACTGCTAGTCCTAACATGTCCTTTTGGAGTTACCAAAGAATCACTAAATTATTTTTAATACCAAATATGTGACCACAGTGCTAGAAGTAGATAAATAAGGATGCCCATTATAGCAGAGAAAGCTTAAACCAGATAATAAAGTGGTCTGAGAGACACTCAGAGTAAGTGATCCTCCATTCTTTGTGTCATCTGAAAGTACACTAGCTACTGGGTAGACTAAAGAGCAAAGATGGGGATATGGTTTGTTTGGTTTCAGTTTTTGTTAGTTGTATATTTTCACCCCATTAGCATATCTCTAGAGTCTCTCTGTTTTTCTCTTTTAATTTAAGATTTGCATTTTTGTGGGCAAAGGAGGATATATATATATATATATATATATATTTTGTCCCCTTTGTTCTCTGTTTGTCTTTCCATACATATGCATCATAACTTCAGCTAATACACTTCTAAACAATATCAAGGACATATTCTAG